AAAAATCTTTCTGTGGCTGATTCGGGTTCATATTGGTGCCAGGCTGAAAATATCCTTGGAACTGTTCAACGTCAGACTTCGCTTAAAGTGACTACAAGGCCCATTACACCATCTCCTTCAGGTAAGAAGTGATTGAGTAAACATGTTGAAACAAGATTTTTTACCGTTCTTTGTTACTACGACTTCAATTACTAATAACCTGTAGATATTCATTCGCAATTTGCTGTTTCGTGACCCTCAGATCAAACCAACAACTTACTATTTATGGTCAGATCCCCGAGTTTACGCTGAACTACCTACTGAAATTTGTCTCGCTTCGTAGCTCAATAGGTATGAGCGCTCATCTGATATTTGAGGGTAGGTCTGTCCTGATTGTGTTCAGCAACATTTGAGCAACTTTTGGCGTTTGGAGAAACTTATTGCGGTTCTAACAACCTCGAGGAATTCTTGCCTTTCTCAGTAATTTTTGAGCAAAATATAAGTTTAGAGCACATATAAAGGACGAAAAAGTCAATGATTTCATATAAAACTTTAATTTATACGAATTTCATAAATCGTTTGTTAACCTTTTGAACACATAATTTGTCACGTGACAACATTTCGCAGGCCTATTGAGATCCTTATCTAAGATTTTAGGAGATAATCGGCTAAAATGACTTTTCTTCCGTTTAACTAAAGAGTATTCTTAAATTTCGCCCATATTTGCGAGCAACCCTTTGAAGCTGAGTTTCTTGACCGATGTTGTAAGCAATTATTGTGAAGGCGAAAGATAAGGCTTTAAATTAACATTTATATATAGATATCAACAAATTTTAGGTAGCAACGTTTTGGAATTTTGGCAATTTTTAAGCAACTTTTAGCATTTCAGTGAGCAAATTTCTAGTGTTTTTACGAGCATGATCGGGACAGGCCTACGAAGTATTTAGTTATGCCCTGATTTTAATTGTGGTCGAGTTGTGAAGATCATTTCGACATTAGCAGGTCATTTCTGTGGCCTATTTTAAATTTGTATTTTAAGAAAAAGGTTTAAATGTTTTTTGAAGTAGTGCTGGGGGAAAGGAGGGAATTCACTTAAGATGGAGAGATAAATATGTTTGGTTCATTCTTGTGTAGGTTCTACTGTTAGCCTGACATCCATCAGTTTTGAAAGTGAAGCAGTTACGCAGACGTCAATGGGTTGGACTGATAGAATAAGGTACCCGGTGGCTGTAATCGCAGTTCCAGTGGGTGTGGTCGTCCTCTTGATCATAGCTTCCGGTCTCTTTTATTGGCAGGTGAAGAAAGGCCGAGCGAGCTCGTCCGCGACGATGAAAAGCCGACACAACATCGGTTCACTTCAAGCGAAGTACGTAGTCCAGTCAAATGAGTACGTAATAGTGCCAGACCTAAAAGGACTTGGGAATGATTTTGGCACCAACTGATTGTAGATGAAAAGGCTCATAAAAGAGGAACTTCAAAAGTAAAGTTAAAAGAGAAAAAAGACCGAGGGGGGCAAAAATAACGGCAAGACATGTAAAATTGCCTGACAAGAAGAGCAGTTATCACTTTGTTACATCTATTTGGAAATCGCAAAATACAGTCGCTCAAATATAGATTAT